GATGTGCAGTGTTGGGGGGGGGGGGCGCGGAGCGGTTCCTACACGGCTGGACAGGCAGCACGCGCAGCAGCAGACAACAGCGGAGCGCCACTCCCGCCGGGCCCTGGATCATGCTGCCGCTAGACCGCTACGCCAGCTGTCCTGGATTGCGTCCCAGCCTCCCTACCATCTTTGTTCCTCTGAAAAGCGTCGGCCACGCCACCTCTTGACACGCGACAAACCTCAACAAAGGTCAACACCCACAATCACGTAGCAATTGTGACCGCAGCCCACCCCAGCCCTGTCCCCCACACACACGATGACTCACCGCTCTGCTTGATCTCCAGCTCTTGAGCCAGCTTGGCCCCCTTGAACTTCCGCGGGCTGGGCAGCGACGACCGCATGGCCGCCATCTCCCTCGCCGTCACCGCCACGCGCCGTGCCGGCGCCTGCTGCTGCGGCGCCGCCGCCCCCTCTCCCGCGGCCCCCGGCTGCTGCCGCCGCTGCCCGGGCGGCGCCGGCGCCGGCGCCGGCGCCGCTGCGCTCACCGCCGCTGCGCGCATGAGCCGCATCAACTCGTCGTCCTCACCAGGCGCCGGCCCCCGCACCGCGCGCCCGCGCCCGTCGCGCAGCAGGCCGCCGGCGGCCGCGGCGGCCTGCTCTGACAGGCGCTTGGCGGCGCGGGGGTCGTGGGGGCGGCCGTCGGCGTCGCGGCGCTGGACGAACCACTCGGCTGCCACATCCCTTTGTGTGTGTGCGTGTGCGTGTGTGTGTGTGTGTGTGTGTGTCAAAAGTCCAGGGGCAGAAGGGGTCGCCAAAGCTTGCATCAGTTTGGGGGGGGGGGGGACATGTGATGAGCAAGGGGGCGCCGGCGTGCTCGCGACAGCCAATGTGAGGCGGCCAAAATCATATCCTGGGAGGTTCTTGCGGGCCGGCACCCGCAGCGCGCAAGTGCAGGCGCCTGCAATGAGGCACACGCACATGCATGCACGTGCACACGCCACGGCTCCCCACCCTTTCCCGCCCTCCCGGGGGTCCCGAGAGCCCCCCCCTCCCTCCACTGCCCACGGCCCACCTGTTGAGGCGATGCATATCACAAACACTCTGCAGCAAATCTTTCGAGGGGTAGGGGCTGCGCGCGTACAGCGACTCTAGGGTGCGCGCCACGTCAGCCGCAAGGCGCCGCGGCGCGCCACCGCCACCGCGCTGGCGCTGGCCGAAGGGCAGGAAGCCGGTGTCAGGGCCCTTGACGGGCGCCAGCAGGCTGCCGGGGGCTGCGAAGGGGGGGGGGCGGAAGGGGACGCATGTGATTGGGAGGAAGTCAGGCGCGAGATCAGGCACGGACACAGCTGCCAGGCGCGCCGGGAGGGGGGCAGGGCGCAGATGCGCGCGGGGCGGACGCGCGCCAGCGAGCGACGCCACGGCCGCACTCCCCCTCACCCGGCGCCCTCGGCTGCGCCGCCGCGGCTTGCTGCTGCTGCTGCTGCTGCTGCTGCTGCTGCTGCTGCTGCTGCTGCTGCTGCTGCTGCTGCTGCTCCCCTCCTTGCCGCTCCCGCTGCCCCCGCTCCGCCGCGGCCGCCTTGGCGCCCTGCCGCCGCTCGCGCTCCTCCGCGCGGCGCGCGTCGTCGGCGGCCGTCTCCCGCGCGACATCGGCCGCAAAGGGCGCGGCCATGGCGTCGCGCTCCTCCTTGGGCAGCGCGGCGTGGCGCTTGAACCACTCCGTGACCTCAGACCTTGATGATTGTGTGTGTGTGTGTGTTTGTGTGTGATTGTGTGTTTGTGTGTGTGTGTGTGTGTTGTGTATGTGTATGTGTGTGTGTTTGTGTGTGTGTGTTTGTGTGTGTGTG